GTTTACTCGGCTCCAAAAAACAAAAAATATTTAAGAAATATATGGAGGGGGGGCGGTGAAGATCAAAGAAATTACAGAGAAATCAAGGAGTAAATGGAAGAACATGAAAAAAACTGAACCAGTAAAATAAATGCAAAAAAATGTGCTTAAATATATAATATGTGTCAACTAAATTGAGAAAATAAACATGACAGTCAATTAAATTATAAAACATGAGGTGAAGTTCTCCTTTTTGAAATTGACTGGTCTATTTTAAGATTGGGCCACTTGTATTTTTGCTTTAAAAAAAGAAATTCTGTCAGGTCCGGTCTTCCATATTTTTTTACATCGACGATAACCCTTGGTGGTGAAAACTGATATTTGGAAATTTCAGTTTTTCATTTATGTGTAGCGATTTTTACCCTCTGCACTTCAGTGTAGATTTGTTTTAATCCATCCACAAAGGAGGGTCTTCACAGCGCAAACAGAGTATTTAAGCGGATAAGTTGTATTCCACGTCCAGAGTGAGTGGTCCACTAGTGAAACTTTAATTTAGGTGGAACTGCTGTGGCTGGTGGGGGTAATTTGGATATATGTCTCTTTTCTTCCTCTTTCTGTCTGTCTTTGTAAAAAGTTTTCCCGCGGGGAAGCAGAGACAAGTGGCCACAGACACCAACCTCTCTCTCTCTCTCCCTCCCCCTCTCTCTCTTTCCCTCTCTCTCTCCAGTTCCGTGTGAGTAAAATAAATAGGCTCCACCACTGGGCTCCTATAAACATGCTCTTGACTCTCCTCCTCAGGCAGAGCCACCTGGTGGGCCCGCACCGTCCCCTCCGGTCCGCTGCAGGACAACAGCATGCTTTCAGACAGGCTGCTGAGCATCTGTGCCTTTAAAGCTCTGTGAAGCGCGCGCGCCTCTGTCGAAACCCCGCAGACAAACTTCCCCCTGAAGCCCGACGCGCTCGGCGAAGTGCGAGCGAGAGCTACACCAGCTTGACCACTGCGGCACTGGCTCACCCTCACAGCTAGACCCATGGAATACTAACTATGGAATACCTCTGGATACTGCTGTTTGTGTTTTTACAGCTAAGCTTCCACCCAGGTAAGGCTCGCGGAGCGTGTGTGCCTTCACGCGCAACTTGTTGCTTTTCCCTTACGGGGGGGGGGGAGGGTTGGGGGACAGGACGGGGTGTTGAAGTTTAACAGGCTTCATGTGTGTATATATTTTTGTAGATTTCTTTTTTTATATAATGTTTTTGCAACAGTGTTGTGATGCTTTCTCTTCGTACGCGGAGTCAGACCCCCGAGTCTGTAAGAGAGGACAACCTGAAGCCACACAGAAACCCAATGAGGGAAGCAGATACTCTGACGATTTGAATGCGAGACTTATTTAAATAATTCACGCTTTAATCAAGAAACAAGGCGCCATTGATGAAAACAAACAGAAACAAAAACTGTCGTGGTGAAAACTGGCTCTCCAGTAATATTAATAAGATGCAAATAATCCACCAGCAGCGCATAACCGTCAACATGTAGAAATATTGGTTTGTGATTCCTAGGAAACATGCAAACGACTTCAATCCGCGACCACTGGGTTGTTTTTGTCTCTCTATGTGTGTGCGTGTGTTTCCCAGTTCCGAGATGATGTGTTTGACCCAGTGGGACGCTTTAAAACCTGTTCTCACTCTCAGTGGGCTTTGGCTTAAAAACACATTGCAATTGTTATGACTTGGCTTTATCTCCAGAAGCGTGGACAAGAAGGTCAAGGTCCACAATAGCCGAATGGGAGCACTTCATTACTTATTTATATAGTGAGAAAGATCCACCTGTAGTCTCCGTTGAGCGATTTAGAGTCAGGAAAAGTAGATAAATGCTCTTTATCAGAGGGACATTCACTGGGATATTGAAGTATAAGGCGGTTGGAAATTTCCCCCTGAGAGATAACAAGTAAATTTATGGAAAAGGCGTCTCGGTGCCTCAGCCGATTCTGAAAGGGGGGAACTGAATCAGCGAGGTGTTTTCCTTTGCGCCCTGTAGCCGTGCTGAGGCGTTTCAGGGCGGCGTCAGGTGGACTTCGTGGCCTTCTTGCTTACGAACAAGACCTGATCGGACCATTTCGATCAGATCATCTGTTTTTTGTTGTTGTTGTTGTTTATTTGTTTTTTTGAATGAGTGCCACATTTCGAGGCAGTGTGCGCTCCGGCTGAACCGTCATGTGATGCAACAGGGGCACGCCGCGAAGTTTCCTAAAGCCCGCTTGCGCATGGTGCACAGATAATAAGCCAGGTTTTATGATGATGCTGATGATGATGATGATGCCGGAAATAAACACGTGACTGGATTCGTTTAAAAACAACATGCATTCATTTTCTTTTTGTTTTCTGGTCTCCTTTGCGTGTTACCAAAGCTTTACACTGAATGTCCCAGTTGTTCTCTGAACTATCTGGAGTCTCTGCTGACGTAGGGTCACGCAGAAGAATTAACTGAATAAGTGGTTATGTGTAAAAGATTTATAGCTGCTTTATACTGCCGGGGGTCTCCCTCCCCGTCCCGTTAGCCCCCTTTGACCAGATAGTTTTTTGTAATGCACATGTATTGTATTCAGTGGCGTGCACAGACATTTTGGGGGTAAGGTGTTCAGGTCAGGTGATACTGCTGTTTGTGTTTTTACACAAACAGGGTCAGGTGTTCAGGTGTGCTGGCTGTAGTGTGACATTTATTACAGGCAGTCTGGTAATTTATGCTTTTAAATCAGCAAAATCCTAACTGGACTATATACACTGTTAATAATAATAATAATAATAATAATAATAATAATAATACAAGATTTCAGAAGGGCACTCTAGGGCCATCTAGAGTTTATCTGTGCACATCCCTGATTGTGTTGGCGTCATTTTAATAGGAAAAAAATGACAAGATTTGATAAGTAGAGACATTTATGCATTTAGTTCTGCTACTTTTAAATACCCATTGCCCGGTTAAACCCCAAGTAAAAATCTTGCATGACTTTCAGCTGAGGTGATCTGCCAGCCCTGATCTGCCTTTTCAAACCCGAGGGTGCCCCCGATTATCTCTTCACTGATTTGTCAAATCCTGCATTCAAATTGCCAATCATTCCACTCGACAGCGCCTCCCTTTTGTCTCTATCTCTATCGAAGCAAGGACTTCGCCAACTCAGGGCGTATCTCTATCAGCAGCTGCCTGTTCAACACTCCCGCTGTGGTTTCTTGTACTGATCATGTAAAGTGGGTTTGCTCTGTAAAAACAAAAAAGCAAATAAAAAAAAGCATGAGGTTTTCTTAGAAGACAAAGAGCGATTACTCACTTTGTCCAATTTTTTATTTTTTGTTTTTGCAACGTCTGCGAAGGTTTAAAGCATTGGGAGATAAAGACACAAAATATGGTGAGAAGTGAAATGTTTCAGATCATTTCCACCGTTTGATGATTTGCTAAAGATTTCTGCTCATATAATCTCTAATGTTTAATTCTAACCGCTTAAACAAACTTATTACAGTCCAAAAACTGTTGGGTCATCTATTATATTAGATTCAAGAGGTTAGAGTTGAAGTTGGGTAGATTTTGAACAAATGTTGGATCAAATATTGTGACCTTTGTTGTTAGGGGGGCGAAGAGTCTAAAAAGGCTCCTAACATCATATTCTGCTGCAGTGATGACGTCTAGTGATAATTGTACATGTTAAAAGAGACCAATTAAAACACAGTTTATTCTTTTCTGATTCAACTTCAATGCTGTCTTTCCAAATTATTGCATTATAAATTACAAAGTGACAAATATTAATGCCAAGAGCTTGTGTTAATGTGATCTTCAGAATGGTTTTGTTCCCTTAGCATTAGCCATTGCCAGCTCTTGTCTTACGTGCGTTTCCCTGTTATGAATCAGTCGGCAATCCAGTCTTCTCACCGCACTTTTTGAAAGCTTTGAACATTTCTCACTTTAGCCCATTTGTTTGGTTGAAAAACCATGCCAGTACATTAAATGAATCCCATTTAATCAAACTTGTGGTGCAAAATCATCCCAGTTCTGGATCTTTCCGCCATTGATTCAGGGTTAGGGTTAGTAAAATAACCCAGTTTGGGTTTTGTCCTGCATTGTTTACAGTGTATACCAACTTAAATCTCTGAAACACTGCAAGAGATTATTGTTTGCTTGTATATTTAATCCTGTTTAATGTTCAAGTGGAAGAAATAGGTATTTGGTTTCAGATTTCATATGAGGCAAGATGGGAGTCCAATGTAAATCTTCTAATTTTAACCTTGTGTTTGTCAACACACGTCAGTTAACGACTTTTAATGTTTGATGTGGACCTTCTTAACCTTTTAGATAAGAGATTTGTCGTTAAGCTCTTGTCATGCACGGGACAGGCAGATTGGGTAGCGTAGATGCAAGAACAGGTCATCTCTGTCGTTCTGAGATTACCTTCCAGAATCATAACTCTCTTTCCAATCCCATTTCAGGCCACACCAAGCCCACTATCATCCCCAACCAAACCCAACTCGTCGTCCCACTCAACCATCCCCTCGACCTGCGATGTAAGAGTGAAAACAAGACACAGTGGTGGCAAGAAAGCCGGCAGAGACCTCTTAAAACAACGCAAATCGATGGGATGTGGAGAGTATTTCAGGTCAAAGCTCTGAGTGCCCATAGTGGCCGCTACATGTGCCGGGATGAGAAGTCCGGCGAGGAAGCCTCCATCTTCGTCTTCGTGAAAGGTATCTGGGTGACCAATAAGTGTGTGTGAATCTGTAGTGGGTTTGTGTTTGTGAGACGAGGCGATCTTCAATCATGAGGACATGGAATCCGACTCCAGGCTAGAGCAGTCAAAGGTTGTTTTATTTATTTATTTTTTTTGGCAGTACTGTCTTTACTGACTACATGCTGAGGCGCGTGGGTTTGTTTTGCACAAGAAGGTGTGTGTAACTCTGCCCCGGACAGGTGAGGTAGATTCTGGAGCTATTTATTGAGTGCATGACTGAGTTTTACTGTATTTCCTTTCCTGTGAGACCCCTTGCATCCCTCTGGCCCCGCGCCATCACTGCAGGCTCTTATCATGTGCTGATCATTCGCTCAAAAGTCTCGCATCTATCTCAGAGGCAACAAACAATAACTACTTTTTAGCTCAGATGTATGGTTACATAAAACAATCTTGTTTGGGATTTTTAGCAAAAGTTGAAAGGAATACTGTGAACAGGACGGCTAAGATTAAGGCGCTAGAGATCGATTTCACCTCAGAGGCTGGATATTTTAGTGGACATGGTAAATCCTGAATAATAGCAGTTCATAATCCTTAACCCTGATTCACAAAGAGGGGTACCTGATTTAATTATTATGTGCGATCGCTGCCTCTGTTGGCTTACATTGTTGAGTTAATGCAGTAAATTATTTTCAAAACCTGAAAAATTTTGATAAAAAAGTCATAATTACTTAATAATAATAATGTTTTACTCTTGGTTGTAAAGGGGTGGTCTTATATATTTCCCCCAATGCAACAGACTGCATCAGAAGAAGAAACAAAGAGTAACTCATGACAAGCATGAAGCATCTGACTTCAACATTCCCCGAAGCTGCTGCTCTCCTGCACACAATAGCAGCTAAGGAAGATTTCACTAAAAATCACTCTGGAGTTCCTTAATCTCAAAATGTTACTGGAATCGCATCATGCAATATTCTAATTTGTTTTATTGTTTAGCTTTGAACTTCTTTGAAATCACTTCCTGCTTTTTTGCAAAGCGGCATTTGATCGTGACTTAGATTGGGAAGTTTCCAGAAAAGCCGAGCTACTTGGAAACTTGGAAAAAACAACTTTGCGTAACTTCTGACATTCTTTGGCTGTCAGAGCAAAAAGTACAGAGGCATCGATTTTATTCTCCACATTTCCAGGGCCTGTCGATCTGCCAAGACGTCTGCACAACAAAACATATAGCCATAAAGCTTCAGCAACTCAGTGTGAAGTCCCGCTCACTCACACAACCTGTGCAATTGCGTTTTCTTGGCAGATCCGGAGAATCCCTTCAAAAAATCGTTAAAGAACATTCTTAAGCGTGAGGGACACAACGCTGACATATGCCTTCTAACTGATCCAAGTATGCTCAACTTAACTTTGGAAACGTGCTCTGGAGAAGCCCTCCCCGCTGGTCTCCAGTATTCTACGAGCCTGGAGCAAGGGATCATCATCCACAACGTAAAGCTGACCTACGGAGGATGCTATGTGTGCACGGGGATGCTCGAGGGAAGAGCCGTCAAATCAGAAAAATACTACCTGACAGTCAAGAAAGGTAAAAATGCATCTTATGTGTTCAATGCATATTACTGAGCTTCTTTATTGTGATTCGTTTCTGTTGGGGTCGAGCTCTGGTCTGGATCAACTTGTTTTATTTCAGCCCCTTTAGGTCCTCCTGAAATTCAGATGCAGCATCCCAGGAGAATCATTCTAACTCGAAATGAAAATCTGTTGATCACTTGCAATGCCACCAATGTCAACGGACAGTTCACAGTGAATTGGGTGGCACCACCTGGCTCGGTGAGACCCGTCAGCTTTGCCTTTTGCTGTAGAGCGTGCTTTAGACAGTTTGCATGTCCAAAAGAAAAAAAAAAAATGGGTTTACCTTTCCCGCACAAGTGGCTGGAGGGTCAAAGGTGTCTCTGCATGTGCAATAGGATTTATGGAGTTTATGTCTGTGGTTATATTGCATGCATTTGTGTGTCTTTGCTAGTATTTGCTTGGCAAGGATAGACATGCCTTCGGGGTTAATCTCTAGAGATCTCTGGGCATTGACAGGGTGCCATCTGGTGTCCACAGCAACCAGCAAAGGTTGATGTCGATGCACGCATCCTGATGAAGGACTACACTCACGCCAGCAGTGTCACGCTGCAAATAGAGTCCGTGCGTCCACAGGATGCTGGGAGTTACAAATGCGTAGCCGTAAACGAAAAAGGGAACAGCACGATGTCCGTGTGGCTGGACGTTTATGGTGAGTCTGGAAGATAAAAATTTTCCTCATCTCCTCCTGTGATGAAATCGAAATAAGTTCCGATGAAGTTCTGATTACCAATCTTTGCCTTTCACATGTGACTGTAATGTGTTAAAACTCCTGAGTATTTGTTTTCCCAACAAGCTCTTGGTTTCCAACTGCACATGTTTGAAAACTGTTCAGCATTTTGGGAATTGCATATTTTTGTGTACACTCAATGGAAGCATTACAGTCCTTTGCAAAAGTAGATACACTCCTCTGTCTTCTCCACATTTTGTCACAACATAACCTCTAAAACTGATGAATTCAACTGGGATTTTATCTGGTAGATGGACACAAAGCCATGCAACGATTTAGTAGCTAAACTTTGTGAAGTGAAAAGGAAATGATGTGTGGTTTTCAATCTTTATCCATGCAGTGGTTGCATGTGTACACCTAAATACACCTAAATAAATGTGATGTAACAAAATGGAGAAAGACTTCAGGGTGTCAATACTAATGCAAGGTCCAGTGTTATTATCATATCATGCAACGAAATACCAAAGGTTGCTGAAATGATTAATCAAGATTAATCAATTATTCAAATAATCGTCAAATAATTTATTAACCGATTAATTGTTAACTGGAACAAACAGACTCAAAACATGGCCATTCGTAGAAGAACAACACATTCAGAGCATTAAACCAAAACTGCAATCAACATAAACATTTGACTTGAAGATAATAAAAAAGACTTTATCTACTACCCTGAACTTCTCAAGTTTTAGCTTATTCTGGTTAAACTTCTGTATAAATAAAAACTACTATTTACCATCTATTGCTAGTTAATTATTAAGTGGTTAATGTAAAAATTAATCAATTAATCTGCAAATGATCGAGCTCACTGTATTTTTTTGCCAATGAAATATTTACGTTATTTAAAAAAGGAATTGATTTTGTTTGTTCTGCATGTTTTAACATATTTCTAATATTGTTCAAAAAAGGCTTAAAGTTAAATGAAAAATGTACAGAATGGAGATCAGCACCAGCATCTCTGAGATTCTGCAAAGATAAGAGGGTACAGACAATGGATTAATGCATTTCATTTTTAAATGAGCTGGCACATTCATAGAGAGGAAATGTCCTGGTTTCAAATTGCTTTCTAAAATAAAGCCTGGTAAAAACACAAATGCCATTTTTACTCTGAATATCAGGAACACTTTTCTTTTGAATCAAGCTGAGATGAGTTAACAAATTTTATTAGTATCTAGAGTTTTTCCTTCAAGTCATGGAAGCGGTGTGACTGTTCTCATTTAACTCCTGACAAGACAGCAGCTAGGCTCAGTCTTTAATCAGCCCTCAGGCTAATCAAAGCTATTTTGCTGCCCTTTGCTCATGAAATTGAACTTTTAGATATTTTCTAATTTGCTGACTAAAAGAACACCAGTCTTTCCTAAATGTCAAAATTTAATTTTAACTGCTCATAACCTTAGAGAGTCTTATTGTACTAGCTTGACACATTTCTAGCGGTCAGGTTTTCGTAAGCAATCTGAGTTGATGTGACGTACCCATACCCGACATGTCAACCCATCCTCACGCATGTAAAAGTCTGGAGCATATTTTTTTTCCCACCAGTGTTGTAAACGCCTCCTATTTTCATATTTCAGAACGGGGGTTTATCAGCTCAGCAGAAATCCACAACAGAACTTTCCACGTCCGCGCCGGCGACAGTTTGTCTCTGAACGTTAGCATGGAGGCGTATCCAAAGCTGCGCGCCGTCTCCTGGAGCTTCATGGGCGAGAAGCTCAGAAACACCAGTGACCACGTCATCACCACACACAGCAGGGACTACAGGTGTGTGCACAACGCAAACTCGATGAACTGAGGCCACGTAGAGAGGGAGCAAGCGCTGCTGGATGAGTGCTGGAATTTAGCGGCCTTAGCCTAGCTGCAAGGTCGCGGCTTCCTGAGAGAAACCGCTGGGGCAAAAAGTGTCGCCCCAGGGTTTCTCATGAAGTGTTCGCAGCCAGATTACAAATGTAATCAGTTGGCGTTTTCGGGATATAAAGCCAATGAAATCCACATGTTTTAGATTAAAAAAAGTCAGGTGTTATCCAAAATCTCTGTTAATATGGGAAGAATAAAGAGGTTCACTTCGATCCTCAGCTGGATGTGGGTCAGTAAAACAAATGCTATGCAGATGTGTGAAAGGGAACACATTACTCAAATAAAGCACTGATTATCTCTCCATGTGAACTTCTCTCTCAGACAGGACTTGATATTCAGAGATTTTCAGTTTTATTTTCGTATTTTTTCTTACCTTAAAAAAAAAACCTTGATTAAAATGTATCTGTCCCTTTGTTCAGCTACGTCAGCGAGTTGAGGCTGGTGCGGCTCAAATCGACAGAAGGTGGCATTTATACCTTCGAAGCCTCCAACGGCGACGCAGCAGTAAAGCAGAACTTCTCCGTGTTTGTTATCAGTAAGTGAAAGGTTTTCTCTCCCCTTGAGCCGCATCATGAAAATGCATTTCTCCACGCCGCGTTAACGTTCAGCAGCTGACGGGAGGGGAGTTGACCTTTAGGAATTGTAATTTGATGAAGTCCAAACCGTCTGTCTGTGCCTCACCGAGCTCACAGCTGTGCCTGAAGGAGGGCAAACACCCTCTTTTCTCGACAGCCTGTAATTTATTACTTAACGGTCTCTCAGTCTGACGTCGGCTTTTTGTTTACCAGGTAAGCCTGCGATCATAGAACATGGGGGCCCTGTGGACGGACAGGTGCACTGTGTGGCTGAAGGCTACCCTGCCCCCCAGATCAAATGGTACTACTGCGAGAAGCATGCTGTCAGGTGAGTCTTTTGGAGGATGGGGGGGAAAAAAAAACAAGAGTCTTCAGTCAGTTATTGTTATCCACACAAAAACAAGTCTGCTTGGTTCAGTCGTTCTTCTTTGTTTTCTCATGAGGGTAAATTTGAGAACACAACAACCTATTGTCAATCATTTTATGACCGGGTATTAGCAGTAAAAAAGAAAATGGAGATGATGAATTTTAAATCTTATGATTTCAATCAATGATGAACGTCTCTGCCTCACAAGGTGGCAGAGCCTCTCAAAAGAAAAGCAGTGAGTTATTGTTATGCAAACAAATATTTCATGATGTCTAGGGGTGGGCATTTATCGTGTCAAAACATTTCTTGTCACGATACGAAATTTCGATATATCGTTGTCTATTGATAAAAAAAAAAACTGACTAAAATGTTTATTTTACTGTTTTCTTCGCTGCTTTTTTCTATGAGAACACCAAAAAATATCAGTAAATTCAAAAATATGAGTAGACGAAGTGTATATGTGCAGCTTAGTGATATAAATCTCCTGAAAAAGTTTATTTCAGATAGGAACCAATCAAGAGTAGAGTTGTTGGTGGCACTACTGCACCATGCAGGTACCTAAAACAAGAAGTGATCAATCATCATCAGGGTTTCCCCCCAGAAAACTTGCTAAGCCCGGTGGTCGGGGCGTCGAGGCGGTCCACCGTGTTTTGTATAAAAAGATGTTAAGTTGACAGGAAATGTAAAAGTATTACTGTGTAATTTATATGTTACAGG